GATTCATGTAAAAGAAATAAAGTAATCTCTAATACATTAGTGTTGTGAATGTAATGGAATAACTACTGCATTTCTATCAGATGTAACTCATTTCAAAATGTAATTCTTTGCTTTTTCTTTACGCCTTTTTCTCAGATGAAAGAACACCTGGAGAAACATTGTCCCAAAAGATTGATATCCTGTCCTATGGGCTGTCCCGAGCAGGTAAATCTGACAAGTTTAATAGTGTTTGGGTTTTGCACCCCTATCAGTACTATCATGTTATTAAAGAGGTGGGACTTCCAAATTTAACGTGCATCTCCAGCTGGACCGAGCCAAATAGTTTGAGAGTATGAAAACTCCACAAAATGACTTGAGTTCAAGAACGTCCAGTCTGGGATTCAAACCAGGGCCATCTTCTTTGTTGTCTAGCATGATATGACTTGAGCGAACAGGAGACCCGAGTTTGATTCCTGAGTGGGGAGAACATTTTTATTGAGTACCTCAGCTGCTGGGATGTTGTAATCATCTCAGCTTGGGGTGGCCCTGACAGGCAGGGTTAGAAGCTCACCTCTTAAATGATATAAATTGTGTCAACGGGACGTAAAAAACACCTACAACACCTCAGCTATACAGTAAGACTGACGACTTCGAATTTGAGTTTGAAAATCCTCAGCGTAGTTTGTATGTCAGCTATTCTGGTTTGGTTTCAGTTCAACATGGACATGTTCTCCGACCACATACACAAGTCGATCGAGTCGCACCTGGTGTGGACGGTCCAGAAGATGATGCTGTTGGAGCAGAAGTTTGAGGGTGGCATGGCGCAGCCAGCCGGACTGATGCAGGTCAAGGGAGAGATGAACAACATCGAGAAAAAGGTCGGTGAAGAGAACCCTTGTCCCGGAGACATCGGTTCATCATTGTTGTGTACCTGTATTGTTTTAATTTTTTCTGACTGTTTGCATGTCTTTTCTATCAAACATCTATCGTCCTTATCTTTTTTTCTTCCTCTTCTGTGTATGTTACTCTCTAGTTACACCTGTAATCTTTGGCACTTATATGACCTATTTGTATTGCAAGTGCTGTTAAACTGACTAAAACTAAAACGACGGGTCTTTCTTTCTTTTATATATACTATGTAACAGTTAATTGTCTAAGACTATCACCTGTACAAAGGACCACTTCCGACTTCCGCCCTTGCTTTTTTGTTGTTCCTTTATAATGAAATGGCACTGTCCTGGACATCTACTTGTCCAAAGCAATCACTTTTCTCTTTGAGAATGGGAGAGTCGTCTTGGATAATTTCGGTGAGTGATTGGTGGGTGCTCTGGTGTGGTTTACTCCTTCCTATCCAACATCTGTTGTCCTTTTCTCTCCTCTTTCCTTTTTTTGTCTTTGTTGCTTCCTTGTAACACCTTCTAACCTTCTGCATTTATATAAATAACCTAATTGTGTTGCAAGTGCCATAAAAGTCTTACAACATTTTTTTTTAAAGGACTGCATATACTCATACTTTTTATTTTTTACTGACTGGTCTTTTTTTGGATAAATTTTTTAAATTGTCTTTTTGCTTAGTCTCTCTCTCTTTATCTCTCTCTCTCTCTCTCTCTCTCTCTCTCTCTCTCTCTCTCTCTCTCTCTGTGAATCACTTGAAAAACAAAATATGCTTAAGATTCCCCTTTGAGAACAGCTTATGTCCTGAATAATGTAAACTGTGCCAGTAGGATTTTCATAAAACAGGTGCAGCAACTAATTGTTTATTTGGTCGCTTTTAAGGACAAGCGGGCTAACCCAGATTTCGGGGGGTTCCAGAAATCTTGACCTACACCAAAAGTGGGCATTGCCCTACCTATTGGAGGAGAAGTTTGGTTTCATTGGTGTGTATATTTGTTTGGTTATAGAAAAAACTCTTGTGGGTTGTTGATGTGTGATCTGGTGTGGTTTGCTCCTTCTTTCCTATCATACATCGATCGTCCTTATCTCTCCTCCTTCTATTTGGTTTGTTACTCTCTTGTAACACCTCTAATCTTTGGCATTTATATGACCTAAGTGTGTTGCAAGTGCCATAGAAAACTCTCTTTGTATTTTAAAGATACTGAACAAGAGGCAAAGACTTTACCTTCGATTTTCTCAAAACAGCATTTTTCGGGATAGCCCCCTTGTGCTTAAAAGCGACCAAATAATGTAAACTGTGCTAGGTGCAACAACTAATTGTTTATTTACAACCATGCCTGTTGTGTTTCTTGTCTCTCATTCAGCTTCAGGCTGTGGAACGGCAACTGAAGAACATGACGGTGCCAAAATCTTCGTCGACGTCGTCAGAGTCCTCGCAGGACGCTAGGGCGGAGGGCGGTACAGGCCAGGAGGGGAAACCTTCCAAGGTGAAGCTAAATTGCTTGGTGGTTGCTGTTGTTGTGGTTGTGGTGGTGTTTTTGTTTTTATTATTCTTCTCTTTCTCCTCCTCGTCCTTCTTCTCCTCCTCTTTCTTCTTCTTCTGCTCCTCCTCCTGCTCCTCCTCCTCCTGCTCCTCCTCCTCCTGCTCCTCCTCCTGCTCCTCCTCCTCTTCCTTCCTCCTCCTCCTCCAGCTCCTCCTCCTCCTCCTGTTTTATATGTGGGTAGGTGCTTGGCAGGTGCTCTGGTGTGGTTTGCTGCTCCTTCTTTCCCATCAAACACCTATCTTCTTTATCTCTCCTTTTGTTTGTATGTTACTCTTTAGTAGTAACATCGCAAACTAATCTTCAGCAATTATATGACTTATGCAGAAGACCCGAGTTCAGTTCCAGAGTGGGAAGAACTTTTTTGTAGAGTATCTTGGTCTCTCTCCTGGGATGTTGTATCCCTCTCAGCCTGGGTTGGCCTTGACAGGCAGGGTTGAAAGCCTGCCTCTTAATTGATCTAACTTTTGTTGTTTTTTTAAATTGAAAAAAAAAATCTTGTTTCTAAATCTAAAACGAAACTTTCCAGGTGTCGTCGGAGGTAGCAGCCAAGACTAGTCTTCGCCTCATTGAGCCAATTGTCGCGGTGCTGCACAGTGAACTGGACAAGGCCATCCACTCCTTGCAGATCCTGGAGGGCCACTTCAGGCAGCAACAGGCACAGGTAAATTCTCTCCTACTTCTTTTTGTGTTTGTTAGTAAAATTCTCTCCTACTTCTTTTTGTGTTTGTTAGTAAAATTCTCTCCTACTCTCCTACTTCTTTTGTCTTCTTCTTCTTCTCGATCGCATCAGATTTGAAGTCCGCTATCTATCATACACTGGGCTGTCCTGCTCAGCTCATCTGTCGGCCCGTACAGCTTCTTTTGTAGCGTCCGTGGGGTTGGCCGCGTTTCCTGTCTCAGAGCTCTGTGCTGAAGGATGTATTTCACAGTTCGGTCCACTTCTTCACACTGGCATTTTTGTGATTGTGCTTGTTGAAAACATCTGTACATAATGTGTTGTCTCCGTCTTATGTGTTGTGCTCTTACTCTGAAGATAATCACTTGTACTTTTTTTGTATTTGTTACTCTCTTGTAACACCTCTAATCTTTGGCACTTATATGACCTTATTGTGTTGCAAGTGCCTTCTTGACAATGGTTAGCTGTGAAGAATTTCAACTGAGCTTGTTGATATTGACCAAGGATAGAGGGAGACCTTTGAATAATGAGCTATAGATGACTATTTAAAATAGTCATCTATAGCTCATTATTCTTTTCCAGCTCAAAATGCCTTGCCTGTCAGAAATCTTTGTTCATGATTTGCCACATAGAATACATTATTTTTTAAATTTCAATTCAAAAAGTGTTTTAAAATATATCACTACATAGTTAAATCAGGCGTTCATCAATTTTTTGGCAAATGGAATTATTGGTACCATCTTAAAGCTTGTTCATTGTCTTACTTTTAATGAAAAATTACCCATCTGTCTTATTAAATAAAAGTCGAGATATTTGCAGATTAAGGAGGTGAGGGTAGCCTGGTGTCAGAGGTCAAATTAGCAAGAAAATGGCCATCAAAGATTGATGACTTCAAATGCTGTGGTGCCCTTGAAAACTGCAAATTTACATTTTTTATGCCTTCGCTCAACTTTCATCGGTAAAATCCACGCAAGAATGCATTTTTATATTGACATAAAAGGGTGAGAAGCCAAAAAAAATTTTTAAAATAAAAATTGTCTAATGGGCAGAAAATCATCGGTTTCTTCGATCAATATTTCAACAAGCACCTAGCATCACTTCATCACAATTCCTCCGCACACATTTAAGTTTAGTAACCAGTAGCAGCACTGCACTGTCCTCTCATGTTTTGTCTCATTCACAGCTTGATGAGCTGGAGAGTCGGTTCCGGGCACAACAGCAGTCGCTATCGCTGGTGGATGCCTCAAAAGCTGACCTTGAGATGCGCCTGGCTGCGCAGGAGAAGGCTCGCTACGACGGCACAATTTTATGGAAGGTGTTTGGGTTCGAGTCCAAGAAGAAGGAAGCTATCACCGGCCAGACCACAAGTCTTTACTCTCCAGCTTTCTACTCTGGACCAGTGAGTTACTTGGTTTTGTTTTTGCTTTTTGTTTTTTTAAGGGGAGGGGAAGGCGAGATCTTTAACATGCGCAGTTTGCACATGGGACCTCTGAGATTTTTTCGCCGTTATCCGAGAAGGTAACATGTTTGATCTTACCTACCGTAAGATCAGGGTCATGACTGAAAACAGCACTAAGAGGAGCCAAAAGGAGAACATTTTTATTTTGAAAAAAAAGCATTTTCCGTTGTTGTCAAGATTTGAACATGAGATCTATAGAATGAGTGGTGAGCACTATAACCTCTAGACCATGAGAGCCCTCATCATTTAGAGTTGTGCAATGTAATTATCATGTTATTATTATTGTTGTTTTTGTTATTATTATTATTATTATTATTACATCTGCGGTACTGTTCTCAGTGCTTTTAAAGTTCGTAATTCTTCAGAGTATATTTATTTCCTATAAATTTAATTCCACTTGTCACTGCATGCTAAAACAGTGGCTATCATAGGAAAAAATTTTACTCTCTCCACCTTTTCTTTCCTAGTGAGGAAAGCTGTGAGCGCAGCCTGTAATTTTCTACTTTCAGTGTGGTTACAAAATGTGTGCCCGTATCTACCCCAACGGCGATGGCATCGGCAAAGGTTCTCACATTTCCCTGTTCTTTGTCATCATGCGGGGGAACTACGACGCCTTGTTACCCTGGCCCTTCTCACAGAAGGTATGTTTTACCGTGGTTTTGACTTCTACTAAAGAATACGTTTTTTTCTCAGCTTTGGCTCGTCACAGAAAATATGTTTTGCCGTGGTTTTGACCTCTCACAGAAGGTAATATGTACTGTTTCTCTGATCTCTCTGATGTGGGGGGTTGACGGGTGCTCTGGTGTGGTTTGCTTCTTCTTTCCTATCAAACATTTATCATCTTTATCTCTACTCTTTCTTGTTTGTGTTTGTTACTCTCTTGTAACACCTCTAATCTTTGGCACTTATTTGACCTTATTGTGTTGCAAGTGCCGTAAAATTCTGACTAAAACAAAAAAGAGAGCGCACTTTTTTCTGTGGCTCTGTCTCTTTGCTTTATTTATTTTTTTTTTAGTTTTGATGTAGGAGTTACAATTTAGATTTTTTAGGAGGTTGGTTTCTGATCCTGCCTGTCAGGTCCGACCCGAGCTGACTGAGAAGAATACAACATTACAGCAGAAAGACTGATTTACTAAATGAAAATTTTCTCCCCACCTGGGAAATCCAACTCTAGTCTCCTGATCGCGACAGAGAAGGGCCTAACCGCAACATCACAGATGCTGGTTTTGCTTTTCTGCGCAAAGTCTGCTGGGTCTGTGCTTTAATGGTTCGGTGCTCTGCCACTGCTTAGAGAAGAAGAGAGGTGAACTCTTATGTGGAAAGGTTGTTTTTTTTTGGGGGGGGGGGGGGGGTGTCGTGTATCTCCATCTAGGGTGAATGAAGTATTACACTCGGTAATCATGTGATCGATTTAAAGCGCTCAGAGCTGTTGTGGGACAGAGCGCTATATAAATGCAATGTCTTATTATTATAATTATTATTATTATGATTACTATTAGGTCTATCTTCTGAGATGCTGTATCCTTCTCAGCGAGGGTTAGGCCTAACAGGCAGAATGGAAGTCCCCATCTTTACATTTTTTCATAGCCTAGTATTTAGCATATTAAAATTATTAATTACATCTGATATGCCGATAACGCTCACTCAGAAAAGGCCCTTCAATCGTTTCTAGATACTGTTGTAACAGAAAGTGAACGTAAAGGATTATTGTTGAATGTAAAGAAAACAGAATGCATGGTAATATCGGAAAAAGCAGCAAATCCTATTTGTAATCTCATAAGCGAAGCCTCCTAAATGAGCTAAATTGTGTGTAGATGGTGTTCTGTTCCAAATATCCGCTTGGTAAATTGCTATTGAATACTCTGAAAAGAAAACTAAACAAATTTTTCTAGTTCATAAAAACATGGCGATGTTTGTGATATTGTTTGTCTGTTGTGTACATTTGAATTTGTCAACACCAAAGATGGGGCAATAAAGTATATTAATTGTGAGGCATCGTGGTGTAATCAGGCGCTTAGCTAAATATTTGAATCATAGAAACCGTCATTGTTCTGCTGGTATTATAATCAAATATTTTAAAATCACATTTCTGTGTGGATTTTTCTGACAAAATGTTGAATAAAGGCACCAAAAACGTACATTTTCAGGTTTTAATTCAGGTTTTAAGGACTCTCAAGCTATACAAATCCCCAAACTCTTGTTGATTTTACCTCTGATGCCAGGTGACCGCCCCTCCTTCAATAGTAAATATCTCGTGTTTTATTCAAAATAGAATCATATTATTTTCTTTTCATCTAAAGCAAGACTATGATCAAGCTTTAAGCTGAGACCAAAAACTCAAAATGCCCAAAAATTGAGGAGTGCCTGGTTCTCCACCACGTTGTGACATGTTTACTGCAATGACAAGTGTACTTCGTTTGTTTCTGCAGGTGACTCTGATGATGATAGACCAAAACCATAAAGAGCACATAGTGGATGCCTTCAAGCCCGACCCCACCAGCACCTCCTTCAAGGTGAGAGTGGGGGAAGGAAGATGAAAGTGGGTGGTTGGCGGGTGCTCTGGTGTAGTTTGCTCTTTCTTTCCTATCAAACACCTATCGTCCTTATCTCTCCTCCTTCTTTTTTGTGTATGTTACTCTCTTGTAACATATATTCTTCGGCTCTTGTATGACCTTATTGGGTTGTGTTGCAAGTGCCATAAAACACTTACTAAAACTGTGGGTGGTTGGTGGGTGCTATGGTATGGTTTGCTTCTTCTTTCCTATCAAACATCTATCCTCTTTATCTCTCCTCCTTCTTTTTTGTGTTTGTTACTGTATTGTAACACATCTATTCTTCGGCACTTATATGGCCTTATTGTGTTGTGTTGCAAGTGCCATAAAACACTTAAAATTAAAACAAAAAGATGAAAATCAGAAAATTCATAAGGTGCTTTGTGGTAACATGTCTAGAAGGATGAAAGTGTCTGTTTTGAGGTAGCAAATCTAATAAAAGGATGAAGATTCATGACTGTTTCGTCTTAGCAAGTCTTAAAAGGGTGAAGTCTCTATCTGGTTTGATTTGGGGTTTTGTAGGAGGTCTAAAAAGACTAAGGTTTCTAAATGTTTCGTAGTAGTAGGTCTAAATGGATGAAAGTTAATGTACTTCCCAAAATCTTCCAGCGTCCCACGACGGAGATGAACATCGCCAGCGGCTGCCCGCTGTTCCTGCCCCTGGAGAAGTTGCACAGCCGACAGCACGGCTACCTCAGAGACGACACCATCTTCGTCAAGATCATCGTGGACACGGAGGGGCTCGACCGCTTCACCGAGATGAACCCGGGACGTTTCGCTTCCGGTTATCCCTGAGACAATCCTCCCCTCTCTCCGCCTCCCCCCACTCCCCTCGACCTCACCCCCCTTGACATCCCCTCTCCCTCTCAGATGTGTGCAGCACTGTGGTCTGATGTTGTCTTGAGAAAAGTGCGGTATATACTTGGCTCTGTGTCGCAAAAGTGAAGAATAGCTGCATCCTGTATCCTAACCACCCCCCCTTCCCCCCCACCCTCCTTTCTCGCTATTCAGGGGATTGACACTTTGCCATCACAAGGCTCATATAGTAAAAACTTTTGCTATCAAAGGCAAAGGCATTTTAGGGAAAATCTAAAGAAACTGGGTGGTAAACATTGCTGATTGGTGAGATGAGGCGGCGAAGTGTTTTATGAAACAGTGCCTCAAACAAAATACAGGACACACACTTTGTGGCGAAAGAAAAGAATGCTCTATCTTCTCCTGTTACACCCCCCCCCCCCAGAATTTGTTCCCCAATCTCCCAATTTTTATGAAGGATTATGAGGAAAGCTCGTCTATCTCTATTTTTACTTGGGGGGTTTGCAGGTCTGGGATTATTCTTTACTTATGCTCTGCCAGTCACTTGCCAGGAGTGCATTGACAGTGTCACTTAAAAAAGGAAGAGTACAGTCAAACCTGTTACAGATGATTGCCCACAGTCAAGGGAAAAAGTGTTTGTCTGAGACAGGTGAATGCCTTGGACTGTGTATTTATAACACAGAAAAAAACACAATGGGGGAAAGTGGGAAATGGTCGTTTGTACAATTGATTGTCTCTGACAGACGGTCATATGACCAGGTTTGGCTGTATTGTAGCTAAGTATCGGAACTTAATCGTCATAGGGGTGCTACTTTTTTATATTTTTGAATGCATCTGGTGAGTGTGGATGTTTTGAGCCTTTGTGATTTGTATAATAGTGCAGCAAATGCTTTTCTGATGACCTGATAGTGATACATGTTGTTTTGTTTATAAAGGAGTCGGAAAAATCAGAGAAATGTTGCTTTATTTAGGTAGCGCCCCGTTCATGAGAGTGCTGAAATGGTTTTGGGTCATTCCATGTGAAATAAAACTGCAGTGACAAGTTTATTGTGGGGATGAAGGCCAGTGGAAGGAGACCTTGGGTTGAGGCCCTGGTCTGGTGGTAAATTCTTGGCTGTTTAGAAGCATGTGTGAGGGTTCTGTGCACTTGGCTGGAGAATGGTTGCACCCCCCCCCTCTAACTGGAGAATCATGACTGACAACAAATCGAGTGCTGATAAGCCTTTGGAAATCTTGTGGCTGTGTTGGAACGGGGATGTCAAAAATACCAACTTGTTACCAGGAGAGGTCAGAAAAATAAAGGGTCCAAGTCACCTTGAGGTCATGCTGAGAAAAATTGCAAAAAGTAGCTGTACTTAAGCATGGTGTACTACTGAGTTTGGGCAATTTGTAAAGCCATTACTCTGATCTATAGCTATCCAGTCATTCTATTTAGATATTGCTACCTCGTGTAGTCTCCCCTGACATGGTGTGGCCATACTGAGAACTCAATTCTTAGCAAAATGTGACTTGTGCCCTTTACTTATCTGACGCCATCAATTGTTACATGTGTCTTAGTGCTTTTTACATGTTATGTCGTTGCTGCCAAGTATGACGATTGCACTCTTTAAGTATTTATATATTTGAAAAATATATTGTTCCTGTTTTATCTGTATATCATGGTCATGTCAATTGTATTTTGTGCAAAGCAGTCACAGCTAGAATCAAATACATGCTTTTTTCATTTGTTTACCTAACATGTTAGTCTGTTGACAGGAATGTTCAAGAGAGATTTTTAAAAACAAAAAGATAATATTCACTTCACATGTATGCCTTGCCTGTGCACGTTTAGTTTGTAAGATGAAAATGCTGTTTCTGTCTGTCAAAGTTCCATTGTCTTCCTGTATACAATGGAGAATTCCTTTGCCAGGCAAGCGGGAAAAAAAAAGAGGAAATTTTATAAGTCGGCAATTTTGTTTTGAGGGAGATCCAATAAGAGATACAGCTGTACTTTATGTATTGACGTATGATAACTCTAAAAGTAAAAGGTCGTGATTTTTTCTGGCAATACATGAAAGAGATCGTAGAAATTTTCTGCTTTGAAAAAATCGCAACCTTCCTGTTAACTTATCTAAACTGTGTTAACAGGGGCGCAAAACAATCATTCATTCTTCATCCCTGCCAAATCTTCCCTTACATGAACAAATCAACTGCTTCATGTAAGACTCCCAACACATGTAACTTCTCAAAAGCGGAGTCTTGCACTAAGCAGTCGGAATGGTTTATTTAACTCTTTGTAGGTTATGTTTAAGCTCAGGCATTCGTTTTTGAGCGTGACAAAATGATGGCTAATGTTTCTACAGAGTTCTTCTTTTACAAAAATAGAGAGACAAACTAACAAGTTGACAAAGACGATCAGTATACTGGCAAGGATACGTGATTTACGTGCAGTGTGAGTGAAAAATGGATGTGTGTTCCAACTGAGAATTGATTACATTTTTCTTGTTCTGAATGTTAAAGTATCATTGTTTCATCAAGGAGAGGCTATGCTTGTGATTTTTTACGGTTTTGCTTATAATTGTTTTAACGCCCTTTGGTCACTAAGCTTGCCATGATTTTTGTTGGTTTTAATCTGACCGGAGTAAAGTATTTGACTGATTTATGTCACTAAGGACAGTATAAGGTGTTTGAAATAATGAGAATATTTTGTCACTTTTTAGCACAAAAGGGGCTGTCACGATAAATGCTGTTTTGAGAAAATCGAAGTTAAAGTTTTTCGATCCTTATTCAGTCTCTTTAAAAGACAAGGAGAGTTTTCTTTATAACCAAACAAATATAAACACCAATGAAACCAAACTTCTCCAATAGGTAGGGCAATGCCCACTTTTGGTGTAGGTCAAGTTTTCTGGAAATCCCTGAAATCTGGGTTAGTCCGCTTGTCCATTTTCATTTGTTTGAAAGTTGGCATGTTCATAAATAGAAAAGAGCTGTTTTGTAACAAATTTAAGTATGTCGGCCCATGGTAGCACGAAGTATTAATGTTTCTGATGACAGGGATGGTTTTTTTCAGAGTTTTTTATTCTAATGTTTTTCTGCTATTCTCAGTGGAATCAGTTAAGTGGAGTCCACTAATAACGAGTCTTGAAAAAACGAGAAGTCTGTTAAAAAGACACTATTCTAAAACCCCGTTTTTTTCTCCTCTTTACATTTGTAAACAAAATACTGCTATAGCGCTATCAGACACACTTGCTAGTCGGTTATAGCGGAATATTGATGCTGCTGTGCACATGGCATAGGCCAATTATACATAATGCAAGACCTCGCCAGTTGGGAAACTTGTTGCTGATCTTGCGAAACAAAGAATAGGGGAGCCCATGTGCGTCAACAATGAAGGCCGGAGCAACTGAGTAGGGAGGGTGTGGCATGCGCAGACAAGCAGAACGCATCACGTGATAGGCCAGTTTAGATTATCAAGGCCTGCCATGCCTCTCACTTCTCCGATGCGGGGATGGAGAGGTAACAGCAATGTGATGGATGGAGCGAATGTGTGACGTGCACTAGCAGACGGAATGCACCACAGGGTGGGGTGGGGTGGGGGGAAAACACAGCGGGCGAGTTAGCCCAGAGCCCTTTCTTTCTGATCGCTAACGCCGAGCTGTCAGTCCACATCGCTAGATCTTGCGCAAGAGAAACAAACCTGATTTGATTTTTGATCAAGTAAGACCTAGAGATCATGTTGAAACAAAATCATCATCAGGGGAGATAGCAAAAGGAAAAAAACAGAACAGCAAACTCATAGATTAGGCCTACTTTACAGTTTCCCTTGAATTTATTACTGGATCCCTTATAGCGAGAATCCTGCTATAACGGACATTTTGCTTCGGTCCCCTCCCTCTCATTATAACAGGATTCCACTGTATCAAATTCTCAGCATTTGCTTTCTGATTATCCCCATATTGATTGCTGAATGTAAGGTTCCGCCATATGTCATTTTGAAAAGTTACGTACAACGGAGGCTAGTGCAGAGCAGTCGATAGTAGTTGTGTCTAAAAAGTTATTTTTAACAAAATCCCACTGACATCCTCATGATTATCTCAATTCTTGGTTGTTTTTTTTTCGATAAAAGTCCACTTGAACCCTCATACTTACTTCCATTTACGCTTGGCTTCACAGTGACCCAGATGTGGCCCCACATAGAGTGAAGACGGTTCAAGGAAACTTTTACCATTTTTACACACGTCTGTTTTGAATCATTTGTCCGACTTATTAGTCTATGGTGTAAATGGTATGGCCCCTCTCATCTGGAACTTTATTGGGTATCTAAATGCAATTATTATTATTATTATTATTATTAATATTATTGTTATTATCATTGGTAGAGTTTATTATTATTATAATTATTGTTATTGTTATTATTTACCTCTTTCTTATCGGATGCCGTATCCTTCACAGTATGCATAGGTTGCTCGTGACAAGCAGAGTTGAGCAGCCTGACTCCTAAATGATGGAAATTGTGTCTATGAGAATTGCGCTTAATTAATTATCATTTCCCACAATGTTGTCAGGCCTTCATAAAGTGGAGGGTTAAGTACAATATATAGCTATTTTACTGGGATTGTGATTTTTTCTTTTTTTTTTCTTTTTTTTTAGGGGGGATGGTGGAGTTGTCCTCCTTTCTTTGCATTTCGTAAAACATACACCTGTTATTTCCTGACAGACCGTTAGTAAAACTTTTGTATATGTTTGTTTTCCCTTCATACTGTCAGAAACATGATAATGGCAGTTTATATTCTGCACCCTGCAATATTCAATACAAATATGCATACTTTTTTTTCCACATTTATATATATATATATATATATATGTATATGAGTATAAGTTTTATTTTAGCAATTTGTTGAGTGTTGTGTTCCGAGGTGTCAGCCTTTTGATGATTGATTTGATGGTGTTACAGTACCTGGGTCTTGTACCAAATGTGTGAGGTGGCGTGGTGAAATCAGGCTCAGATCAAAATAATCGCTTCGAAGATATCGGCCTTTATTCGCCAGTTTGATTTTTTTTGGGTTGCTAAAAACGTTTAATGCCCATTTAAAAACATTTCTGGGTGAATTTTATTGAAAAACGTTGATTAAAGGGCATAATAATTATAGGCCTACATTTTCAAGTTTCCAGGGACTCTCATGCTTGGAAATCGGCCATTTTTTGGTACTAAATTTTCCTCTGAAACCCCGCATGCTCCTTAAATCGCAAATATCTGAACTTCTTTTCAAGATAAATGTGTATTTTTTTCATCAGAAGATAATCAAATGAACAAACTTTAAGGTGATACCAATAACCTCACATGCCCCAAAATTGGCCAGCGCCTGATTCTACCGCGTCGTGACACGTTTTATTTGATTTCTGTTCAGTATGTACAGATTGGTGCATTCTTGTGGTGTAGTGGTTAGTCTCTTCACTGATACAAGCAGAAGACTCTTGAGTTGAATTCCCTTTATCGGGGGTTCCCTGTGGGGGAAGTTTAACCTTATCCGTACACCCTGCGGTCATTTTGTACCCTCACATTTTAGAATACTTCTAGTACGAAGATCTCTTTGAAACTTTCAGTATTTCTAAAAAAAATCATTTTGACAGACTGCTATGCAAAGCTTACAGATCGGATTAACGAGTAAATTTCCTCTTTGGAAAGTGGTGGCATAGAGTTCCCCTCGTCGTATGGATATGATAGTAAAACACGACGTATGGATAGGGTTAAACAAAAAAAAACGTCAGTATCACTCGTCTTCCCACCGGGATACCGGTATCCCAGTCAGTCCTAGATTGGCTCTGACAAGAACAGTAGAAACTGTCTGCCCCCTCCCTAAAGTACCGGTATTTCGATGGGGGTGTTTTAAAAAAATTTAAGGTCAGTCACTGTATTTTGAGGAATACCTGTATGCTCCCTTGCTTCTGAAGAGATCTGATCTGAAAGAGAGATATTTTTTTCGTTATACCTTCAAAAGGGTTAAGCATTTAATTTTTTTCTTTTTCCTGTGCCCTGATTCGGTGCTGGATGCTTATGGGTTACATAGAAAAAATGTGTCCACGTGGTAGCAGTTGTAATGCTGCAAAAGAAAACAAAATGGGAAAAAGGAAAGTTGTGTGGAATTTGATGATGATGATCATGATGATGATGATGTCGATGATGATTTTTTATGTAGTATATTTTTCTTGCTAAATAATTGTTGTGGTAAACCTGATTGTATGTGTTGTGCAACTGAACAAACTTAAATGAGAGGGAAAAACATGGAATAGATGCACGGTTTTTGTCTCCTTCTCCTTCTCCTCATCCACCTCTAGATCTCAATCTTCTTTCTCTTACTCCTCCTCCTCCTCTTCCTCCTCGTCCTTCTCCATCTCCTCCTCCATTTCCAAGTCATCTTCCTTCTTTTCCTCCTTTTCCTTCTCTTCATGTCATGGCCCTCCTCCTTCTCCGTTAGATCTCAGGTCTCCCATCAACACTGAAATGTTTTTACCTATGTATTGCTCTGTTTTACATAAAAGTGCTTGATCCTTTGCCCTGCTGTTGTATTCCAAATTTGTTGAAGGTGCTTCTTGTTTTCTTCTTTCCGTTTTTTAAATTCTTTTTAAAAAATTTTGTTTTTTGTTTCAAATTTGGGGGGGGGGGGGGGGGTGGAATTGTATGTGTCATCGTGGTGAAATCAGCCTGTGGTCAAAATGGTGAAATGAAAGAAACCAATATTTTTCCAGCCGTTGGGCAATTTACCTTAAATTTTGGTAGGTTCTGCTCTCTCTGTCTCTGTCTGTCTGTCTGTCTGTCTGTCTGTCTGTCTGTCTGTCTGTCTGTCTGTCTGTCTGTCTGTCTGTCTGTCTGTCTGTCTGTCTCTCTCTCTCTCTCTCTCTCTCTCTCTCTCTCTCTGTCTCTTTCTCTCTCTCTCTCTCTCTCTCTCTCCCTCTCTCCCCCCCCTCTCCCTCTCACCCCCCCCTCTCTCTCTCTCTCTCTCCTTCCCTCTGTCCCCCCCTCTCTCTCCCACTCTCCCTCTCACCCCCCCTCTCTCTCTCTCTCTCTTGCTGTATCCTCTCAGCATAAATCCTCATTATTGTGTTGATGGTCTTCTATTTATTCGAGGTAAAACAAAATTGACACTCTGATCCTATCAAGTTTCTTGTCTTTATATATGCTCAAAAAAATCAGTAGGTTCCAGGTCCTACCTTTCCTAGAATGAGGAAAGCCAAAAAACGGAAAAGAAATAATGAATAATTTCCTCTGCTGACTGCACCTGCGCTACTTGAACTGAAGTTTGAACCAGATAATTTGGCAGGAAAAGTGAACGCCTTCTCTCTGTCTCCTCTGCCTCCCAACCCTCCCCTCTGCCCCCCCCCCA